ATGCAAGAAATTCAAAAATTCTCTCTTTCCAGAAAACTCTTTAGTGTTGCAGCATCTCCACTGCGTTTCATCTTAAGATTTTATTAATGACTCATTTCAAGCCACAATCTTGATACGAGATTATAGCATTCACTGACTGAGACTATACGTTGTTGCATATGATATCTTACTCTTGTTCCATAGATTAGAACAGCACCTTGCATCTGAGACTACGTCAGGCAAGTAGTTTCCCAAATTTATCGAGCAGTTATGAGAAACATACAAATGTCACTAGTTTTAAGTTGCATTGAATTCCAAAGCCAAGACATAATCATTGAACGTTTCTCTTTCCTTTACTCTTATGATCTGTGAACTTCAATAGTTCTTGCCATTTATGATTAAATGGCTTCAGTCAGTAGTTCCCTTGCCTACTGATTTGACATGGATCCAGTAGTGGTGATGGGATGAATTTTCAGAGAAATCTGACATTATTCAGAAAAGAAGAAAGAGGAAGAACAATGTTTTCGCTACAAAGGTCAGTAATTAGCAACTACGGCTGATAAATTTTTCTAGCTTCATAATGAAGGTTGCAGAAAAAGAAAGTTCAGCATGAAGGCATAAAAAGGATAGAGAGCTGATTACTCTAATACAGCATGCAAAGAATAAAATCCTTCTTATTATTCAAATATAAAATACATAATCATTATTTTATAAAATAAAGGTGTAGAAAATCATAGAAGGGAATTTGGTTTAATTTCTGTTTTGGTTTAATTTCTGTTTGCTTAGAGGGAGGAATCATCAAATGGTTAAGGTGTGTCCGGTAACCATCCCCCATAAAGCTTTTAGGAATTAGTTGCATTCCTTTCCTATAAATAAGCACTTTTTGGTGAAGGAAATAAGACAAGTAGAAGCGAATTTTTCCATTCTCAAAACTTTATGGTATCAGAGCAATTCTGATCCAGGAACTTCATCCCGACTAGCCGAAGTCACAGATGGCCACGGGTGAGCTACCATCTTCTCCGAGATGAATACTTCCTGCATCCATCAACCATGGTTTGGTTGAACACTCTACGTCATTCATTACTGGGCACAAACTAAACGGCAATAACTACCTCCAGTGGTCATCATCGGTGCTGCTGTTCATCCGGAGCAAGGCCCGAGATGAATACTTTAGCGGCAAAATCGTACCTCCACCTGCCAACAATCCGAATACCCGAATATGAAAAATCGAAAATAGCATGGTTATGTCATGATTAGTAAACTCGATGACGTCTGAAATTGGAGAGAATTTTTTCCATTGCGAGACCACACATGAAATCTGGGAAGCGTCTCGGGAATTCTACTCCAGTAAGAAGAATACTTCTACCATCTTCGAAATTGAGTCCAGCCTCCATGACCTGCAACAAGGTGAGTTAAACGTAACCCAGTATTACAATACTCTAACTCGCAGCTGGTACCAACTTGACGTGATTGAAGAATATCGTTGGAGCTGTCCCGAAGATGTCAAACTCTTTAAATCGATTATTGAGCAGAAACGAATTTTCAAGTTCTTAATGGGATTAAACAAAAACCTGAATGAAGTGCGAGAACGAGTATTGGGAATCAAACCGCTGCCAAGCATCCGCGAAGTGTTCTCCGAGATTCGGCGAGAAGAAGCCGAAAGAAAGTAATGATGGAAGACACGCAATCCACTCACCTAATCTAAAATGCTTCTGTGCTTACAACCAGAACACTGGTTTCTCGTGGGAAGAGGGGACGACCGTGGTGTGACCACTGCAGGAAACCCGATCACATACGCGAAAAATGCTGGAAACTTCATGGAAGACCTGGTGACAGAAAGCCCTCCAAGTTTGAAAACCCCAACGACCACCAAGGGAATCATACAACCTCTGAAGATACTCTACTGACCGCTACCCATTTAATGTAGAACAGATGGATGCTCTCCAGAGAATGCTTTCTCAGAAGAATCATCTCATCAGTGCTGCGGTAGCATATAAAGGTAAAATTCCCCTTGGTTTATCAGCTTGCTCTGCAAAAAGGTAAGTTTGGATTGTGGACTCCGGGGCATCCGATCACATGACGGGTGATGCTTTACTGCTCCAGCAGTATAGCTCGTGTAAGGAAGGGTTCACAATTAGAATTGCTGGCGGATCTATCTCTAAAGTGGCAGGAATAGGTTCTGTTGTTTTGTCACCATATTTGACTCTTATTCCGTTCTATATGTCTCAAATTTGAACTGTAATTTGTTATCTGTTGACAAACTTTCTGGAGATCTAAATTGTGCTGCTAAATTTGTCTCTAATGTATGCGAATTTCAGGACTTGAACTCGGAAAAAACGATTAGCAATGCTAAGATGAATTCGGGGCAGTACCTTCTTCAAGCCGACACCTCTAGGAGACAAACTCACAATGATATATACAAACTTTGTTTCTATAAGTCATTTAAATAATGACTATGATATCATTTTGTGACATTATCAACTAAGATACCCAAATTTCTTGTATCTAAAAAAATTATTCTCTTTGTTGTTCAAGAATAAGAATCTTCTTTAATTTCAGTGTGAAATATGTCAATTCTCTAAACATATTCCAAATTTCTTTCCTACTCTATCATACAAACCCTTAAAACCATTTGCATTAATTCAAAGTGATATATGGGGACCTTTCAGGGTCACTAATATCACCTAAACTAAGTGGTTTGTATCCTTTATTGATGATCATACGAGAACTACCTGGGTTTTCTTCATGAGAGAAAAATCTGAAATTGGACTTATATTTCAGAAATTCAACACTATGATTCAAACTCAATTTCATACCACCATACAAGTGTTGAATTTTGATAACGCATGTAAGTACTTCGAAACCACCATCGGAAAATACTTTACTGAACATGACATTATCTATCAAATCTCGTGTAAATACCCCACAACAAAACTACATAACCAAAAGAAAAAACAGACATATTCTTAATATTGTTCGATCAATCATATTTATCACTCCTGTCTCAAAATATTTTTCGAGAAAGGCAATACTCACTGTCACATACTTAATAAACCGAATGCCCTCCCGTATCCTTCATTTTTAGTCACCCTATAACCTCTTCCTACAAACTTTTTCTGAATCTCATATCTTAAATACTCTCCCACTTAAAGTTTTTGGTTGTTCAGCAATGTTCATATTCATGCACACCTCAGGGGAAAACTTGACCCAAAAGCTCTCAAATGCATCTTTATTGGGTACTTTTCTAATAAACAATGATACAAATGCCTCTTTCAGGGTACTCGTTGATTTTATACCACAATGGATGTCACATTTTTTGAAAATCAATCTTCTTACCCCACAACTGATATTTAGGGGGGGAGAACTCTACTCAAAAATATCAACTGTGGGATGTGAGTATACCGTCTCTTTATCCACAGATTTCACCAAATGCATCTTCTTTAGAGTTTGAACCTAATACTTTACTTGAAACCATACACAAAGAGCCTGAGCCAATGGC